GGGGGGGCTGATTGTCCGATGCGCTAAGACTCCGGGGCCAATCGCGAGACTGCAATCCTGCAATCCCTTTCGTGCAAACGGGACAATTCAGAGGCAATCAATAAGCAAAGTGCTGACAAAGGAAAGAAGGAGCCAAAGAAACGCAAAGGAAAGAAACAAAATCTTAGTTTATTTCCCCAGGTCTTGCAACACTTTTCTGAACGCGTGACGCGGTCCGGTTGTCAAGTCACACACCTTGGGGCGAAAGGCCGGCCCGGCGGGTCGCTCTTCTGTTGTGACGAGATTAACTAGTCCCGCTGAGCACGTGCGCGCACCCGCACACACAGACACACACAGACACACACAAACACACTAATACACACACACTAACACACACACGCACAGGGCGTCCCGCACCAGGGGGCGTGGAAACCCATCCGTCCCCCCAGTCATCCCCAAATGCCATTTCAATAGAGGGGGTTCCTGTCGCGGGGGGGAAGCCGCCCCTGGAGGAAAGGGGGAGGGGGTGAGTTGGCGTACCGCAGGGGCCACGCCTGGCTGTGCGACCCCAGCACGCCAGCGCCGGCGGGTCGGGACAGACGAGCAGGCACGGCTCAGCTTTGAGCCGATTGGATTTGACTGCGCAAATACGTGCTAATGACATGGCGCTGAGCTGGTCTGTGGCAGGCGAGAGAGAGAGAGAGAGGCGAGGGGGGGAGGAGGGGGAGTCAGCCAAACCCACGGCCTCACCTGAGCCATACGAGGCGCGCAGCAGATATTTCCCCACACGGGTCGGTCGTCCCTTCTAACCGTCTTGGCGCGACGCACATCGGCCCACCCCTTCCACCTGCGGCGCACCTGCGGCAGCTGGGCGCTGGAGACCCAGCGCAAACGATGACAAAGGACTGGGGGCGGTGACTCCGTGCGATGTGTGTGTGTGTGTGTGTGCGTGTCGTGTCTGTGTGCGACGGTGCGCGGGCGTTAGTGCGACTGCGACGTGACACTGTGTAGGGGTATTTTCTGTACTGTACCGTCCTCCAGACGACGTCTGCAAATGCTGTAAATGTAAACGTCTGTAAATGCTAGTGTGCGCCAATTTTTCAGGGTTTTGACTTTTTAAATAATTGCCAACTGATTCTGAATAATTTAATTTTTCTAATTTTTTCCCGTATTTTTATTACCTTTTTGTTTTGGGGCAGGGGGGCAGGTACAGATTTTTCCGAGTGAAAAACTGTCCCCTCGGGTTACAGCCATTCGCACCATTTAACCAACTTTTTTTTTGTGGCAGTGTTAGTCGCGCGGTCGCACGCTCCGCCTGCTAATTCTACTCACCGGGCGCCAAAATCTCGTTCCTTCACGCGCCGCGAGCGTATCACAGGGGGCGTTAGAGCACCAAGGGCGCGCGCGCGCAGGCACACACACACACAGGCGCGTTTGCTTGCTCGCACGTGCTCTAAATTTATACCTTCTTGTGAGCCCCGAGGCGCGATGAGGTGGATTCTAAAGAGAGGGGCTCCCTTCTTTTCCGTTCCAGACGCCTTCCCCTTCTCCGCCCCTCCGCTCCTATGCCCTTCTCCACCACATCCGTCCCTTACGCCGTCCTCCGTTCGGTCGCTTCGCTATCGCATGGCAACCTCGAAATAGCGCATCGGCACAGACACAAACACACACACACACACACACACACACAATTGATTCGTAAAAGTATCATACCCTACGAAGCAATGCTTAGTAATAATTATGTACAAAGCAATGCTCATAAACTTTCACGTATCCATGCAGTAAGAAACAAAATTCCTTAGTCCAGCAGAGTAGACAGTAGACATTCCTATATCCCAGTCTATTGGCGTCAGACTAGGGTGACGAGGAGAACAGCGAATTACTACTAGTAAATCAGCGAAGAAGCCATTTGTCGGTGAAGGTGGGGAAGAAGCCGGCCGTAGATGGATGATTCGGGGAGGGGGCACGTGGGGGCACGAGGAAAGGGGCAAAGAGGGGGAATCTGTCATAAATTACGCCAAAGGCACGTGAAGACACCTGCCGGTCTTTCAGCCGCTGCCCCGCCCGCCCGTGAATAGCGAACCTCTCTGATTGATCGGCGCTCCCATTCATACACTCGTCCTACGATTTGCCTGATGGCTGTCCCACCCCACTCTACATCGCTCTCTTCTCTCTCTCTCTCTCTCTCCCTCGCCGTTTAATTGATCCCCATCAAGTACAGCAACGACCTAAAAGAATGTTCCACAGAGTTTAATGTCAGTCTTTACGCACACTACGTGTTAAGCGAGCAAAAGCCTGTAATGTATTTCATCCAGATTCGACACACGACAAACAATAGGAAAACAAAACTGCCCTTGTTTCAGGCAGAGCCCCCCTGCCTACAGTCAAGGACGAGGCAGGGCGGGCCTGCCTACCTGGGTCCATCGAGACGGAATGGCGAGCGACAAGTTCGGTAACTTTAAATCAAGGAGACATCTCCCGCGCGTTTGTTATTTAACTACGGAGCGGCCCAGGCCCTTTTGATGAGACTTTACAGAGACAGAGCTAGGGGGGATGGGGGAGGCTAGGGACTGCCAGGAGACTAGTTTTCCCCCACTAGCTCATTGACACAGAGGCGGCAGCAACGAACAGCAAAACAAATCCAGTTGCGATGGTTTCCTTCAGATGAATACCACTCCCTCCAGTGCCCGACAAGTGGAGCCTATGCTCCTGGACAAAGTTTAGTAGAAAAGGGGGGCTGCGTCGGGCCCAGGGTAGATTGTAAATGTGTCGCCGGCTCATGACATGACACGCCGCCGGCACAGGAGGCGCTGATTGCCCCACTGCAGTTCTAATTTATTGTCCGCCCGCCGCACCGCCCGTATCCAAAATTTGAACGATTTGCAAAATTTGAACGCGTTGAACTACAGCGTTCGCAGTTACGCCAATCAACTGAAAAACTCAAGTGACGTTGAATTAAATTTTAAAACGAAGTTGTCTAAGAGTATACGTATTGTCATTCAACGATGCACTCTACAACCGAGGGCCCCACATCACTGTGGGCAATTTAATTTTCGTACATTATAGGGTCATAAAAGGATAATCGCTGAATGAAAGAAGTATATTTTCAGGAAGAAACAACACAACGTTAGAGTTGCCGCGCCGGATATATCCGGATGCACTTCAACCTCGATGTGGTTGTCAGCGACGCAGTGTTTCAGCACTTACTCGAAATGTCCATCACTGTGCGAAGGAGATCAGCACCTCCAGAAAAGGCGACGCAGATGGGGAACGAGGGAGAGGAATCATGGCTTGCATAGTAATTAAGGCAAACGTCTGCCAAGTTTGGCAAGTCACGGAAGAACCTTTGAATCATTCGGAAGAAGCAGCCAGGAGCCGCTGTAGTGAAAGGAAATATAAACAGATCAGTTCAGTTTTTTACGTACCTTGCCAAGGTTAAAGAGCACTAAAATGCATATTACCTAGACTGTTGGTAGCCTTCGTCTCCGCCAGGGCAGCAGCAGGGCTCGCCTACAAAGCAGTGCACGCATTTCATTACAATATGATGTATTTGCTTGCATAGCATTTGGCCCCGGCGGCATCGTTTAGTTCTTTAGCTCAAATGTGCGCTTAAAATATTTCAGTTTACGGAACTAGGCTTTCGTATCATTTAGAACTTTTAGCAATGCACCGTGTCTGCACCCAAGATTGTACGTTGACGTTGCAAATGTGGAAGTACAACTAATGTTCGATCTCTAACTTTTTTCACTCTCAGTCCGTTACTGACATTTTTCAAAACGACAATGAATTCGTTTATACAGCAGTAATACTCACACAGTTGCCAGTATTACTCACAGATTTCGTGATACTAATTATTTTGTTAGGAACTACAAAGAAAGACCATCCTAAGTACATACTAACCAAATAATTAGTACTGCTAAATTTGTGAGTTTTACTAGAAATTTAGTGAGTATTACTGCGGTAACAAAGAGTTCCTTGTCTCTTTGCAAACTGTAAGTAATGGAATGGGCTGACAGTGTTCAGTACAAATAATAGACCTTGGTCCTTCGGTCCCTCGTTACCTGACCAAACTGAAGCGCTGCAAAAAGCAGACAGGCCAACAGGGCAGTCTTCATAAATGTCTTCATAGTGGATAGGATGACTTAAGTGTGCGGTTGCGATTTGAAAGACCGAGGATTTCTAGTTACTCCCGCTGCTTAAGTTCGGTCCACTTAACCTTTTCGCAAAACTGGCCTGCATCACCTCAGGTACTGGAGTACTTTGCTAGGAAACATGAGTGCGGAAGGGATTCACTCCTTCGTGATAATAGCAGCTGCAAGCTAACAAGAGCTATCACACAACACTTCAAGAACTAATCACAAAGTTGAGCGAGTGGGGGCGGTGACAGCTGTTGGATGTGCTGCTATTATCCTCGATTCCCGCAACAGTGTCGTTTTTCGCGAATCTCTAAAAGATATAAAGAAAAACCTTCATCTCTTTGACCCTCGCGTGAGCTCAAGGACCTGAGGTAATGCAGGACAGTTTTGGGAAAAGGTATAGTAGACCGACCTCAAGCAGCGGGACTAGCTATAAATCCACAGTCTTTCCAATCGCAACCACACACTCAAGTCATCCTAGCCACCATGAAGACAATCATGAAGACTGCTCTGCTCGCCTGTCTGCTTCTCGCAGCGCTTCAGTTTGGTCAGGTAAAGAGGGACTGAAGGACAGGTTGATTATTTGTACTGTTAATTAAAACTTTGAGAGGTCGAGCATGGGTTCTACGTCCGCATCTGCATCGTTCTCGAGACACCTTATGTGCCTACGATGGTGTTTTTGCTAAAAGTTAAATGATACAAAAGCATAGTTCCTTTAACATTACTATCTTCCAGGTCTTCGGGAGCACTGTTTAAGTCCCTAACTCGACCTCGCGATCAAAGTTGACGATAAAGTCATCTTGACACCGCGCTGTAGAGCGTAGTTACTAAATCTTCCTAACGATGCTGAGGGCCAAAACCTTTGATACGCAGCTACATCGCAATGTAATCAAATGCGTGCTCTGTTTTCTAGGCGAGCCCTGCACCTGCCCCGGCGGAGACTAAGCCTACCACCAGTTTAAGTGAGATGCACTTGAGTATGCTTAGACGTTTAAAAAGGTGCGTAAAAAATTGATGTGTTAACTTTGTATATTCCGTTTCCTTACAGCCGCTCCTGTACGTGGTTCCTGCATCAACCGAATGATTCAGAAGTTCATTCTCGAAGAGACAGCTTTGTTATACTTTTGCGTTGAAATCTCGAAGTCATATTCATCGCTCCCGTTCTTCGTCACGTTTCCCATCTGCGCCGTCATGAGTGGAGGTCAAGAAATCAATCGCATTCTGAATGACTTTGTGCATTGCATTGCGCCATGACATTGGGACACTGCGTCGCTGACGATCACATCGATTGCAGCAAAATATATTCGTTGCAGAAAGTCTTACGTTGCATTGTGTTTTAATGCAAATATACTTCGTTAATTTGGCACTTCTATTTTTGTTGATCCTACAACTGAATCATCTGCTAAAAATGCATAAGCGATTAGTGTGTACCATTCACTTTTAATCTTCCATTCTTTGAAATTTCTCATATGGTACACGAGAGGTGGCAGCCGTGGCAGCAGTTCACGGGTGTTCACTACTCTGATAAATAAAGTGTGCATCTGGCGTGCACATGCAAGTGCTTAACGCTACGTAGCACACTGTTAAGTGTTCGGCTGAATATTTGAACACTAAAAAGTGTTTAACAGTACAGTTGAACACTTAAAAGTGTGCAACTCTGGGGTTTGCTCGCCCAATTAAGCTTTGTACACTTTAAAGCATTCAAACCTACTGTTCAAATACTTAAGTGTTCAAATTTCTCGTCCAACAGCTAAGAGTGGTCACTGTAGAGTTGTCTGTTCTCCCACACAATTGGCACACTGAAACCTTGCGTTCAACCATTACCAGACTCTTTGCAGTGCATCTGGATCGGCGTCTCAACTGCGGTCGAGAAAACGTGGCCATCCGGTGAGCGCGCGTCAGCCTTGCAGCTCGATGTGCGGCGTCTGCCGCACGAGCGGCATCTTCCAGGAAAGCAACGAAGACACGCCAGTTCAGCATCTGTTACGTCCCCTTCCTCCCCCGCGGTGCGGTGACACATCACAAGGCGCGGGCCTGGCTGCGGCAGCCACTGACGACGACAAGAAGGCGAGACGTCCTCTGCTAATGAGAAAAATCTTCGACAAGGTTGCGGAAACTTCCCATAAAGCAGTCCCTACATGATTCCCGAAATACTTGATTCCCAGCGATTCCCATCCGCTTATATTCGTTCCTTAGGTTTTCTAGTGGTAGATAACCCTTATTTCGACTAATTTGTATCAGTTCTAGTTTCCCGCTTAGGTAAAGCGATTTCTGTTGATTTCGATCAATTGTCATCATGTGATTCCCAGGCAGGTGTACACATAATTCCCAGAGATATTGCCCCCTCGGTTGCAGGTAAAATCGCCACGCACACAATGCCAAAAAACCACAATACAATAGAAAAGAGTCAATTCGAAGGGAATTCAGACGCGGGGAAAAGTTAAACCATTTACTTTTTACTCGAAATCGGCGAGTGCAACGACAATGTTCTCCGCTTAAATTGGTGCTTCTGGTTGAAACTAACGCAGGAATTGGCATAAATAAATTTTCGAGTTACTATTCTGAACATGTGCGGACTAATTCATCCAGGCGTCTTATTTCAGACCGACGACGCCAAAACTATTTCGCAAGTGGTAATAAAAAAGTCGCACATCGCACATAACTGGAAAGTAAACGAGTTGAAGAGGATTCAGCGCGCTCGCCAGTTGCACACTCATGAGCGCACTGCAAAGACGCACGCAATTATTTGGTAGCGCTCAGCTCCAGCAGGCCTCCAGCGGGCTCTCCACTGGAGTCTCCACGCAGCGCGAACAGCGCGTCACCATCGAAAACAATTCCCCGTCTGTTTATGCAAATGTGACAGCGGGGCTCCAGGCTGCTACCCCCGGTCGCGCAACAGCCGCGACTACGCCCACCAATAGGCCCCTCGGATCCGAGCGGATAAGTACTTGGGGAGTAAGACGTCTTAGTGCGATGCGCAGTACACTACGAAGCACGCAATCCCCCAAAAAGTGCATGGAATAAGATATTACGATCCTAAAACGATACTGACTCACTTTACTCGACGCTGTGATATTTTATAAGATAATTCGAAGTTTTTTGCTTCTGAAGAACTTAAAGGCATCACTAGCCAAATGGGAATAAATTGATATGTGGAGCACCCGAGCACCCTTTATGTAATATAGTTATCACAAGTTCATCGTCCCCGAGAGGCGAGATTTTCTCTCCAGCTGCCTCTCGCGTCACTTTTCATTTTCATTGAAATCCTCGGAATAACCTACGCCTCGGCCCACCCCGACCCCCCGCACCCCGTTCTCTCCCCGTATCAATCGTTTCTCGTCCACGCCGTCGCGTACCCCCCCCCCCCCTTTTCCCTCCTCGCCAATCTGCACCCGCACCCCCACTTCGCCACCTCACCCTGCGCTGCGCGCCCCAATCCTGGACAGATGTTCGGGCGTCCGAGGAATACAGACGGAGCGGAGTTAGATTATAACTTTATTTAAGCGGCAAAATGCCGATCAGGCTTTGGATGTCAATCGCAGCCCGCGGCGGGCCGGCGGCGGGGCGGCGGCGGGCCGGAGGGGGTCCCGTGCAGCCCAGACCAGACTGTGATTTCCTTTTCGCAACGCCAACGCTCGCCGGAATGAAATTGCTGCCCAGCGAAACTGAATTAATCAGAAAATATTATGAAATGGCGGCGGCGCCCCGCGCGCCCCTCTCATCCATATTCCGATGTGACGCACGATCGTCACGCGCGCCCCGTGTCCGTCCGCCCGTCCGTACGTCAGTCCTCAGAACGTCAATTATTGTCATCAGTGTCGAATAAAGGGACGCGGCGAAAAATAGTGCGACGTGTGTCATTTGCTTTGCAAGCGCACAGCACGACAGTGCTCTGTCGCCTCAGTGTCGCGACGAGCGTGCGAGGCCCGCGCGGAAACACATTGAGCAAATACGACGTGACAGAACACATAATTTAATACACTGAAAAGATTAAGGCAGACTAAGAAGGTATTTCAAAAGACAGTGGCGGTGAGTGTGTGTGTAAGCAACAGCTCCCCGTAGCCACTTGGACCCGAGGGGTCCTTCACTATAAATTGGAGCGTAAACCGATTTTCGAGTTTTTCTTGATTTTTTGTGATTTTCTCCTGATTTTTTGCCATTTTTTTTCTGACACTTCGTTAATTTTTTTAATAATCTTTCAGTGATTTTTTAATGATTTTAATTATTTTTTCGTGATTTTTTCTAAGGGTGTACACTGATTTTTTTGAGTGAAGGGACCCCCTCGCTTGGACCTGCACACACACACACACACACACACACACACACACACACACGCAAACCTCCAAGGACCACCGACCGTGTAATGGCACGCAATGGATCGTGCGTAGTCGAGACTCCCCCGCCCCCTTTCCCTCACCGCCCGCGCCCCCTCTTCCTTCCCGACCGGATACGCTTCGGAACTTTGTGCCGTCGGCGCGCGTCGCATGAGGAGAGGACAATCACTGCTCGTGTTTATGTGTGTGTAAAGTTGTGTCGTGCGGTGCGTCTGCATCTCTCTCCCTCCAGTCAGAAACTGCCGCTTCCGTCCCACGTACGTCCCCGCCCTCCGCCGCGCCGACGTGTTTCTCGGCGGGGAATCATTCCGCTAAAGACCACAGGCTGTGAGTGAAAACCCTCATAGACTATGGTTGAGTAGTACGTGGAGACGAATCAGTAACCAGACTGTTCACCGTTGGTATAAATACCACATTAAGAATTCAAAATAGAAAAACAAGAACAAGAAAGTTTTCTTCAGAGCAATCTAATAGATTAAGTAGTTTCACTAACTCGCCAACATTCGTGAGGCAGACGGTAACCTTTCTGTCTACAGCGGCGTGTTGACTGAGATACCACTGTGACCGGAGAGAGAGAAGGGGGGAGGGGGGGTTAGATAATGCGGATGCTGCATGTCGCGCCGCGAGTCTTACCTTGTTTCCTTCATGAGCATTTACTATCAGATCCACACTATCGAGGAAACAATTCATTGTGACTCACGACTCACGCCATCTTCCACTCAGTCCCTCTCTAAAGCACACACTGCAAAAGTTTCTTGATGTTACTTCGCACGCGTCGGCGGCAGTGCACTTAACCCTTCTCCCATCCACCGCCTTCATTCCCCCTTTTCTCGCGGGCGAAAGACAACGCCATTCCTGGGGATTATTCCCATCAATTTGGCGCGCCGACCACGGAACAACGCATTCTGGGCCCGCGCCCGCCGAGGCGAGAATCCCCTAATGGCCACTTACAGACTTCCGATCGCGGCGCTTCGGCCCGCCTTCGGGCGCCCTTCGTGCGCCTTATTCGGGGGGGCGAAGACAGCTTTGGGGTGGCGCCGACGCGCCCCGCGCTCGCTTCTCGATAATTGTGCATCAGCCGACGGAATATGAATATGCAGACGGGGCAAGAACAGTGCTGAGAGGGGGAGGGGGGAGTGTTCATCATTGGCAGTGCGCTGCTGGTAAAACAAGTGTACCAGGCACAAAGGCCCGACCACTCGATCTAAGTCTTATCATTAAAGCTTCTCAAAACAGGCGAATGGGACGAGTTATTTCTCTTGCAAGAACAGTGTTTCCGTTTACACATCAACATTTCTAGCAGCTTGAAACTAACAATCACAAACTATCGACTGCCGGGCGACTGTCCCCCGTATATCGGCAGACTTTCTGTCTGTCTGAATGAACGATAGCTGGAGGCGGCTGGAGGGAAAACGGTGTTATCGATCTCAAAATCCAGGAGGATCGTTTCGAACTATCAAAACACAGTTCCAGGAAATATGTAATCGAGTTGACTTTATCCCCCCCCCCTTTCCCCCGACTAGTTTTCCCACGCTGCCTCCGCGCGTCATCACCTGTGGCACGAGACAAGGGAGAGCAGGAAAGGGTAACCCCCCCCCCCTTTTCCAAGAGGTAAAGGGGAGGGGGGCGCAGAAGAAAGGGCAGACAGAGACGTCCACACCGGGCGGAAATATAAACATACGAGCAAAGCGTGCAAATAACCTCAACAAGCGCAAAGCTTGAGAAACTTGCACCGCTATAGAAAGTTTTCGGCTTCACAACTCCGTCAAAACAAAGGATAGGAGAAGAGGAAGAGGATTAGTGAAGAGTAACTGCCTGGGCCTGGGTTGGCAGAGACTAAAGTAAATAGGTTTCATTTCAAACGCGAGGCGAGAAGCGTGCTCGATTTTTTTTTTCAAACCAATCACAGGTAACGCAAGCGTGTGAATGTCGCACACTGCGGTGGTAGGTGTGTGAATATCAATCCGAACACCTACACGTGTGCGACATCTCGTGCGCCATTCACACTCTTGCGTTTCCAATGAACGTGAAGGGAAAAAAGCTTGCCAATTTGCCATTTCAACTCTGGATGACATTCGACGCTACAAGGTGAGTAAGGGTAAGGCATACATGGTAAGCCTGTCGAACAGATTTATGACTCTATAGCGGGCGAGTAGGGGATCATCCATAAACAATGTTCGTCATTCGCCGTGACGGAACTTTAAGTTCCTCAAAGCGCCTGATGGGTAGGCAACACCTTACCAGTAATGCAGGCGTGTACTGCGGGGCGGCCTACCCTAAATCTCGCAGGCGCCAGGCTCCGACAACTGGTAGCCGTGTAATTCTGATAAAAACGTACGTACTTTTTGAGCGATCCCTAGGCAATGGAGCTGTGTAAGCCCGGGCCACCGGGCCTCCTTGTATTCTCTACTTCGAAATAATCACTCCTGACAAGTCATTGGATTAACTATAATCATAACGAAAGATCCCCTCGAGTGTTGTACAGGGCCGCAATTTCAACAGCGTTCCCTGCACACACTATAACTGCTACTTCTGCTGCTCTTGCCGTCGCACACTACCGTGTGATTGCACGCCGACCATTTTCACCTTCCAGCACCTCACCTCGCTATCCGCGGGACGGGGCGGGGCCTGGCGGGGCGTGGCGAGGAGGCGGCGCTCGCAGAGTGCGTGCGTGAGAGGATGTTGTGATCAAATCCTATTCTGCGGGGTAGACGAAGCACGAGGCACACATCTCGTCTGTGTGTGTGTGTGTGTGTGTGTGTGTGTGTGTGTTAGGGAACGAAAGCCTTGAGTGCCGAGTAGGTGTGAATGGCAGGGGCAAAGAGACCGACGCGGGCGATACGTAGTAAACGACAAACCAACCAAACGGGAACCGATCGCGCAATACAAAAATTCGTCGCACGGCGATAAAATAGAACTTCAGAACCTTTCCCATGCACACGCACACAACACGTTTATTCATGAAAGCTAAAGAGGACCCCGGTCGGTCTAAATGTAGAACTGTGCAGAACCGTACAAAAGAAAAGAGCGGGGAAAAGTCAACACAGTCCCGCCCTCCTCCTCCACACGCATGGCTCTGGGGCGTCCGGCGCCAATCACCTGCAGATAGTGTTTCAAAGCAATTAGCCAATCTGCCCTCCCCCCCCCCCTGAAATACGAGCCCACAACGAGAGCGTTCATCTGTACAGTGATGATGACGCTCTTTATGATTTCAATCAGGAATGTGAGAAGGGGCCATATATTGGGCGTACAGCAGCCGCCCTGCACTGAAACTCTTGTCGGCCGCAACTCAGCAACTCAAGCATTCCTTCACCAACCAAATAAAAACTTTTGACACTTATTCCTTTCAGGAATGCAGATGTATGATCGGATCCCCCTGGGTTCCAAGACCTCATTTTGCCCTTTGCCACTCAAACAGTCAAAAGAAGTAGCAGTTTTGAAAAAAAACGCCACATATGACACTGAAAAGGTAGTTCCAATAATCTTTGGGACAGTTTCCACAGAGTTTTCAGTGCCTCTTTCCCTCCATTCACAGAGGGGGGAAGATATATAGAGGGGTGTGGAAGAGAAGAGAGAATTGGAAGGGGCGAGGGGTGGGAGACAAGGGAGAGAGAGTATGGGAAGGAAGCCCGGGGGGGATAGAAGCTACCAGCTCTGTTTAACGCTTTGGCTTTGTCGATATATCGGCTGGCGTACCGCTCACCGTGACAGGGTCTCATACCGGGCGCCACTGAACT